CTGAAAGTAGGTAGTGAGGCAGAGGTTGATGAGGTCCATGATTCTGGGTATTTTGATCTTAATGTATTTGGCTAGGTTGGATGTGTTGTGTAGTACTGCTGCCACAGATGCTTTCACTAGTTCTGGGTTTATGGATGTGAAGAATGCTGTGATATTGAATGAAACCATAATTTCATCTTCTTCTATTTTTAGGTCTTTGATTTTCTGGAGGCACCATAGTGGGGAGTTGATAGAATATTCACTTCCCTCTGTGAGATATCCAAGCTTTTTTGAAAGTTTTGTAAGAAGCTTACCTTTCTAAGAAGGTGGCTCCTTTAGTTAGCCAGGGATGTTTTGTAATGATAGAACTAGGGTGGTAGCTTTAAGCAGCTGGTGAGGATTCTTATTTAGGAATATTTTGCAACAAAGAAATAATGAATACAATGAGCTAAAGCAGATTTCCCCACCCTAGTGACCTCCAGATGTGTTGGATTTCAGCTCCCATAACTCTTACTATGACTGGTGATTGTGCCTAAATCAGAATTCCAGAATATCTGGGAAGGCTACATTCAGAGTTCTGGGCATGAACCTGTTACTCCATATTAGCTTGAAAAATATCAGCAATGTGGATATCCAATACTTTTTGCTAAATACTTTTACAAGAGACAAACATTCTGAGATACCTGACCATGTAAGGTGGAATTGATTTTTACCTTTTCAGTTCTGGGTAGATTTTTAATTTTTTTGACTGATTATGAATATGCCAATGAATTAAATTTTCATCTCTTGTATAATAATTTCTCATAAGGAAGCAGAAGTGTTTACTGCAGCTCCTATGTAGGCTTAAGGACCTGACACCCAATCTGTGCAAATCACTGGCTCCTGATCTTTTCTTATCCCTCCCTGGTTAGTTCCAAAATGTGGATTGGCTCACTTACGTAAACATGCATCCCTTAGAACCTGGCTAGCATCAGGGAATGAATTATTACAAAAACACTATACTGATCTTACAGTGATCTTGTTACTGCTGTTCTTATTCCTTCTTTTTAAAATTTGTTTTTTTTTTTTCTTAAAGAGAGCAACTGATCCAGATGGTTAGAAAGCATGGCTATCAGTGCATGTGTTACAAATTGGACTGGAAATAAGACTGACAATATGTAACAATGGAGTGTCAGGGGAGCACTTATGGTGAGAAATGATGGCCATGGGACCACAAGAAAATTGAGATTTTTTTTCCTCGTTAAAATTTTGCTTTGTCACCATGAAGTGACATTCTGAGGAATATTCTGGGCCTTTGACATTGACTAAGTATCCAGCCAGTGAGTTTTATCATCTCATTAAACTCTCTGCCTATCAAAGCTTTTGGGGATGTTAAATGTTAAGTGGGGGGTGGGTTGGGTTTTGTATTTGGGATTTTTATTCTTGTAAGCTGCCTGGAGTCACCATTAGTGAGTTGGGCAGCTATATATATTGCTTAAATAAATAGATAAAAATAAATTAAATACATAAATAAATAAAAATAAAATAAAGTGTTGTATCTTCAGAGTGAATCTGGATAACTTAACTTTTTTTTTCCAGAAGAAGTAAGAAAGGTGCACATACTGTTTGATGTGCAACCCCAGTATTTTATAAGTTTGCACTAGAAAGTCAGTTAATTCTCACTGCAGTATCTGGCTGACAGAATCCTTCTCTCATTTAATGAAATCTGTTTCTTGATGCACTCAAAGGAATCTGATTCACACTTTTTTGGGATTCTATATATTAAGGAGTTGAATGTTTGGGAATCCTTTGAAAACAGCTTGTTGTTTCACAAGAAAGACACTATTCTATTGATTTCTAGCCCACAATAGCAATTGTATTAATATATAATAAAGAACTGAGGCTAGTAATAAAAGTCCAGTCCTAGCACATATATACTTTTGATAGGCCTGATAAATATGATGAAACCAAATGGCTCTGCTACAGCTGAGCATCTTTGCTATGACTCTTGTGGGCTGGTAAGGTTGGGCCGTTAGTCATGTGAATTCACTTTCCAGTGCTAAGGATACTTCTTGCAGTTTTTCCCTTAAAAAGTATTTCATATGCAGCCAATGTACATGGGATATGTTCTTCTATGATGCGATCATGTGGTGGCAGACTTATGATATTTGACATGCAAATTCAACATTCATAAATAATGCCACCATTTAGATATAATTTCCTACTTAAGCAGCCATCTGACGGGAACAAATATGCCACTTGCATGTTCTCAGACTTGACAGCATCTGATTGCATCTTTCCAGCACCATATAAGGAAGTCAGTATCATTCTAGAGTCAATTTGGGTCACAGGAGAACCACTGGTCTCTGCATTGCAAATATGACAAATGAACTGCACATATTGCTTCATTGCAAGCTGGTTTCTCATAGAAAGGTCAGATCAAGATAACTCAGGCATAGTTATGAATGCTGAATGCTTAATTAAGCTTTAATGATTGACTTAAGAAGGGTCTAACGATCAAACCATCAACCTCCAAAATATAGCCACAGTTTTCTTAAGGCAAGTTTTAAGATTTGAAATGCTATTCCTGCTTTGAACCATAGATGCAAGGAGTTTGCCAAGAGCTCTCTGCTCATCTAGTGTAGAATTTCAGGAGCATGGGCTTGCCCACTCACCTCTTAATCCAAATAACCATATGGAGGTGAAATAACCTGGGTGATAAGCAAGTGAAGTAGGGTGATGATAAAGGGAAGGCTAATCATAAGCCCATCTTATCTGAGGAAATACTTTCCCATATCTATTAATTAGACGTTGACCATGAAACACCTTTTAGACCATCTTCACCTGTGCTAGCCTGCCCACATGTTGAGATTATCATCAGAAGCCCTTCACGCTCACTAGCTACCAAAGGATATGAGCTGATCCATTCAAAAAGAGCACATTTTGTCAATGGCTCTTCATTTCTGAAATTAGCTTCCATTGCCGATTGTTCAGGCTCTTGGAATAGGTATGCCATATCTGCCTTTCAAAAATCCAGATGTCCACTAGATGGCAATAAAAGATACAGAAAATGCTGGTGCTGTATTGCCATCTAGTGGTCATTTGCTTTTTTGCACATCCCAAATATAGCAGTCCTATCTTCAACCTTTGAAATTCCCTCTGTTTTTGTGGCCTTTGCCTTCAATTGTATGAGTAGATGAGCTCTTTTTCTAACAGTAGCAGACTGAATGTTGGTTGTTTATATTTTGACTGCATTTTAATGTTTTACTGTTTATTTTGTATGGTGCCTTGAAGCAGCTCAGAGACAAGAGTTCTTGTTTATCAAGATCATTCATGGTTTGCAATATCACTTCTCCAGTTGCTGTTTTTGTTTTCTAGCGAGAAAATACTTCATGAAAATATCATGAAAGGTTGTACTGCAATCAATAAAGCCACCATGTCATCACTACAAGTTACAGTATGCAAGATTTTAGAATAATTTAATCTCTACAAGTGTTAGGAAAACATTGACTAATGCTCTCAATGTTCAGAATGTAAAATAAATACCTCATTTTTACTTGTGCATCACTCCTATAAATTTTGATACTATGCAACAGCCTCCAGAACTGTTTCAGAAAATACACTGTCCCACATTCTTTTAGAGCAGGGGAGAGAAACTTGTCATATTTCAAATGTTGCTGAATAATAGAATGGCCAGTGGTGAGGAATGTTGAAAGTCACCATTTAGTGACAAGTTGAGGACCAAAAATTGGTGGCTTTGGAGTGAGGAATTTGAGACAATGGTGGAATTTATTCAATTTTCTTAAGCTACTGGCCATCTAAAATATTTATTTCACTGCAGAACAGCATTCTAAAAACAGTTTCTTTCATTTTAATTTTAGGAATAATACTTTTGTCTTCTGATTACAGGCAATGAAAGCTTAGAAGAAAACTATGTCCAAGACAGTAAAATGGGATTTGTTATCAATGCAATCTATGCTATGGCCCATGGCTTACAAAGTATGCATCATGCCCTTTGCCCAGGACATGTTGGACTGTGTGAAGCTATGAAGCCAATTGATGGAAGCAAACTTTTGGAGTTTCTCCTAAATTCATCATTCACTGGAGTCTCAGGAGAAGAAGTGCGGATTGATGAAAATGGAGATGCTCCTGGAAGGTGAGACACTATGTGATAATTATCATTGTTTATACACCTTAAGTCCAAACATAAAAGTTTATATTTCTACTACTGTATATTCTTTGTATAGTGTGCCAACCAGCCACACAAGAACATCCCATGAAGATAATTAGAATTAGTAAAGAAGATCTGTCACAAGCATGCTTTGTGGACAATAAGGGTTTATTTTCTGCTTGTCTCACAACTAATTAAGATTGCCTTATAAGGCTCTGAGCTGTTCTTTGAGAAAAGAAATAGGATAGTGGAGATATACTAGTTCACCAATATCAGTGACACGCAGAGGTGAATTGGCCTGGTTGTGTCTTGCAAAGTAATTTCCTTCCTTCCTTCTTCCTTCCTTCCTTCCTTCCTTCCTTCCTTCCTTCCTTCCTTCCTTCCTTCCTTCCTATCTTATAAAAACAAGCCATATGCAGCCTTCACATTAAGGGGGGGAAACTCACAAAGAAGATAGCAGAGTTATCTTCTTTTATCCCATGCCCCAAAACTGAATTGACTATAAAATAGCAAAAGGAGCCTATAGTCATCTTTTACATATTATTAATAAAATCCCAGATGATAAATGGAACTAGTGTATATAATATTACTTTCTATTGAAAGCATGAGCAAAGAGATCTGGTTTAAATTGGTGACTAACTGGTAAAGCTGTCATCAAATAGACATATTTTTGTCCCCAATAACAGACTGCTTTCATTTCTAGGAACATTCAGAGAAAATCTTCTGAAGATGTTATCACCTGCTAGATTCATACACGAGTAATCAGTTTTTTAGATATTGAGGTCCCCAATCTATAAAGAACTTGAAAATCAGTGCTTTGTATTTTGGCCTGGAAGAAATAACTTCAGCCAGCAGCTATTATTGTTGAGATTCCTAGACATTTAAAATGTTTATATCCCCCCAAACCTGCTTGCTGCCCTAATCACCAATACTGAACCCAAATTAAGTTGGCAGGCCAGTTTACTTCTGCCCAAGGAATGACTGGGACACTATCTTGCCTCTTCTTTCAGACAGGGAAAATTTGTATATTTTGTGCTGTCCCATTTTCCACAGTAAAAACAAGATGCAAAGTGTTTTAGGGGAAAAAATAAGACTTTTTCAAAACTCCTTTTAAAGGAATGCTTTGAATTATTTAATTACACACAATGAAAAGTTGAGACTCAGTTGTTGACATAGGTTGAAAATATTGTGGGCCTAATGGTTTTCAATCCACACTTTTTGTTTAAACATTCCTGGTTTTAAAAAAAGAAAACTCAAAAAGGTGCCTGGAGGGATGGGGTAAGTTGTAATGCTTTCGGTACTGCACTTTCCTTGAAGTAACAGGTTCACAGGCTAAAGTTGCTTTTTGATCCAGCATTGTCACCTGTAGGAATCCTAGATGGTCTCAGTGACCTTGAATGCCTTTTACCACTTTTGGCTGATTCTATGCAGATGGGAAGGATCACAAGGATTGTGTGCTGTATGCTAGACTGTTGTTGAAGATGACCCTGTATATCCATTTAATGAAGAATTGAGTTGCCAGAATGTTCATTAGCTGAGTTGTTCACTAATTCTGAAATAATGAGATTGGATGCCTGTTTGCTTCTTGACTCAGTTTAGGGGTGCTTGTTTTGATGTCGAAATAGCCTGCAGCCCAGATCCCTACAGGAGTGCACCCTCTTCTACTTGTCTGCGCCTAGCTTAACAGTTTCTGTCAGGATTCTTCTCTGAGTGCCTATTAATGTCATGCATTACTCCAGAATGCCCTCTGTAGGCAGGGCATTCTGCCATTTATCAGTGGCAGGTTCAGAACTTCTGGTTTGCTCCAGCGTTTTGTACTGTTTTTATGCTTTCACTCTGTCTTTTATTCTGCCTAATTGTTACACACCATGTTTTTGTTATCTGCTCTTTTCACTATCTAATGTTCAATGTGAGTGAATACTTCTAGTCCCACTTTGGTACACTTTACAATTAAGAAATATTTCAGACATACCCTCGTTGTGTGGAAGGTCTGCAGATAGAATCACTTAATTCATGGGTGCCGTTTTTTCTTGAAGGAGAAAAATGAGGCATGGGTGAAGTTCTGACGATTCTGCTGGCGTTTTTGCGGGAGCCTCAGCAGAATTAATTGTCCTGGGTTACAAGTGGAGCATGTAAGCTGTTGAGGTGGATCAATATTAGACTATTGAATAGGGTTTCTGCAGTACTCTGCCTAACAAATCAGAACTAACATATACTAAGGTTTGAACTTTTCACTGTATTTTTTAAATTTGGTGTGTGTGTTGTATTATTAATGGTTCTTGATAAAATATATACACCTGCTTATTAAATAAAACAATTGAGAGGCCACATAGAGAATTTGGAATAGCTGCATAAATACAGTGGCTTGGCACTCTACTTGCACTAATCCTGGAGGAGCAATGTTTGTTACTATCAAAAGTATTCAGGACCATCAACCATGGCATCCTTCTAGGCCATCTATGGGTTCTGAGAGTTTGGGGCACCATTTTATGATGCTTCCACTTCATAACTCCTGCTCAAGTGAGCAGTTCCAGTCAATCCTAGGGAGGTGGGTAAGCACTCAAGTCCTTGAGAACTCCAATGTGCACTTCCTCTGGCTTTGGTCCTTTCCCAAATGTAATTAAACATCTGTGTGAAACTGGTGGGGAAGATTATCTGTTGGTTTGGGATGAAGTATCATCAATATGTGGATGTCTCCCAGTTAGGGTTATCACCTCCTGGATTGAGTAAGAAAGGCTGAAAAATTCCTGAACTAGTGTCTGGAGGTTGTGAATATCTGGATGGAGTGAAACAAATTCAGACTCAGTCCTACCATGATAGAGTTGCAATGTGTAAATAAACATCTGGACAATCCAATATAATTGGTTCTAGTAGGGTCTCTCAGAGGAGTTGCACTCCCCCAAAAAGAGGTGGTTTGTGATTTGGGAGTTATCCTGAACTTGTAGGATAAACTCCTGCTCAAGCATCAAGCAGAAGGTGTGGCCAGGAGGACTTTTGCCCGGCTTTGGCTGATGTGCCAGTTACAAACTTACCACGGCCAGGATACCCTGGGACAATAACTAATGCCTTGACCATCACTCCTTTAGACTAATATAATGTACTCTATGCAGCTGCCTTTGGAGATGACCTGGAAGCTGCAACTGATACAAAATCTGATGATGAAATTACTGACAAGACAATCTGGTCAATCTAGAATAACACCAATTTTGAAGCAGCTATATAGGTTAACAGTAAGGTTAGGGCCCAATTTAACATGCTGATTATGATCTTTAAAGCCCTATATGGCACAGCACTAGGTTATAACAGAGTGAAATCTGCCCATCAAATACAGTCACCTATGGAGGGCCTGTTGAAGATCGCATCTTTCTGAGGTGCATAGGATATGGACCAGATTGCAGACTTTCTCAGTGGTGCCCTGATGCTTCAGGCCATCCTTCACCTGGAGGTATGGGTGGCCCCAACCCTTCATATATAGATTTCATCCATATATATGAGATGGGAAGCTATAAAAATGTGAAAAATAAATAATAATAAAAAATAAATTTCATAAGCAAGTGAAATCCATACTATTCCAGGCACTTTTAGCTCTTAAATGATTTGATACCTTAATAAATGATTGTGTGATGCTTTTTTAAAGAAAGATAGATAGATAGATAGATAGATAGATAGATAGATAG